AGATATACAGATGGAACGAATGAGGAAACGAGAAAGAGAAAGAGGGTAAATGAGAGACGAAGTATAACGTACAGAAGAACACGAAAAGGTACGTTGGTATTTATCACGAGTGACTTAAGAGGGGCAGCAAACTTTCGCATTGGATTTATACCCTTTTTCACTGGTTTCTTTCTAGTGCACTAATAACATAGTACTGAACTGATAATTAATAATGAAACTCGGTAGAAAAGGAAAACAAGAAGAAGAAAAGGAGTATATGAGTGAATGAATGAGAGAGAAAGAGAAAGAGAAAGAGAAAGAGAAAGAGAAAGAGAAAGAGAAAGAGAAAGAGAAAGAGAAAGAGAAACAACGTTGCCTATTAGTTGCCCCCAAGACTCGTCGATAACGTAGAATCACATAAAAGAGAAAGAGAAAGAGAGAGAGTAGTGGGTGGATCTCTTTACTTCGTATAATTGCAAGGTGCAGAAGAAACTAGCTCTGGTGCAACTACGTGCGATTCGTTCGAATTCTCAACTCGAATGGCGGCACCAGCGGTGACGGCCACGGATTCCGAGGTCTTTTCTACTATGGGGGAAAAAGCTATGGGGAATTGTTATGTTTTTTTTCTTTCTCTCTTTCTCTTTCTCTCTGTGTGTGTTTTTGTTTTTTATTATCCCAAACTCTATACGAATGAAAAATGTTTATTGTAGGGAAAATAAAATACACGTTGCATCGAATCATCGGTGAAAATGAGAGAACTAACGAATGTGTGTGTGTGAGAGAGAGAGAGAGAGAGATAGATAGATGAGATGAAATATAGCGTTTAATTAAAACCACTCATAAAGGTCGAACACGGTAGGAAAGATTGACCACATAAACAATGCGTATAGTAGTATTAGTAGTAGTATTCTCTTCCTCTGGAGAATTTCTAAATATTATTTTTAATCTGTGAGTTGGTTGGTTGGGTTGATTCAGATCGATGATGATATTCTTCTCTCTTACGTTAGAAAATATATAGTATAAAACGGAAATGAGAAATGTCTGTTCGTTCGAAAAGAATCTATGTATGTGTCTGTGTGTGTATATGAGAAAGAAATACAAAATGAGAAAGAAAAAGATTAAAAACAAACGTTTCACAACGTTTTGTTTATACAAAGTTAGCTAGCACTTTTTAAATGAGGAAACCTGAACGATAGTTCGACATTTTTATGGGGGTTCAAAATAGTTAACAGTACTTACGTATTAATGCCACCTCAGCAAAATTCCGCTAATGCGCCAATCTACACCTTAAATTGTTGCGACAAATAATAGAATAAAAAACTTTATTTAAAATCGAAACACTTTTAAAATTCAAAACATTTTATTTATAAACAGTAGTCAATCGGATTTCGGTGGAAAATGGGCCGATATAGAATTTAACATAGATTCAAAACAGTCTCTATTTTCTTTCACCTGATGCAGTCGCCATAACCCTGACAAAACCCTGACGAAACCCTAACGCAACCCTGACGGTTGCTGTGTGCAAACAACAAGGTTGTTGTGTGGGAACAACAAGATTGCTCTTTATTGACGCATTAGCGGAATTTTTGCTGCGGTGGCGTTAATACGTAAGTACCTAGTTAAATGCTTGAGTACTTTCTTATGTGTTATATAGTTGAATTATATCATTGATATCGGCACTCATTTGTTCTATGGGGTTTTGTAATAAGTGGCTTATATACGGGGGGTATATTGCTGTTGGCCCACTCGCTGTGTGAGTCAAACTAATGTAATAACGATCATTTGTATTGTAAGTTCTTTTTTTTATGGTGTTAAAAATATCTGTAAGGTTAGCAGACGATTACTTGAAGATTTATCTTTTAAATGTTGATTTGAACAAAACTTTTACTTATCTTTTCGTAATTTTTAGATAAATAGGTTTAGTGTCTATTATATAATCTAGAAAATATTTTTATATTTTTATATTATTATTAATAATTAAATAAATTGATAATCATTTTATTATTAATATTATTATTATTATAAAATATTATTATATTTTTTTGAGATACAATTTTCTAATAATTTTTAATACTTTTGCAATCTTAAATTTGTTTTGTTATTTTTTATTTCTTAATTTTGCATCAATTGTATATCAATTTTTTTTATGTTTTCCTTTTTTTTTTTTTCTTTGGAGTAGCACAAAATAATTTATGTTATTTAAGTTAGTTCAAATATTTTATAAACCATAAATTAACAAGTAATAAGTCAAATTAATATTTTTGATTGAACATACACTACATATATTTTTTATCCACACACTTATTTCAATAGCAAAATATTCCTACAAAATAAATGAAATGATTATTTACAAAAATTGTTAAAATATTAGATAATATTATCCTTCCACCCTCAGTTTTCATTTCATTTTTAATTCATTATTTAACAAATCAAAATTGAATTAATAATCTTGAATATTTCAAAAAGCAAAAATTCTCTTAAGAAGAATATAAAAAGAATGTGCAAGAATTAAAAAAAAAAATTGTATCAAGGATACAATCGTCAAGACGAAGGACGTGTTTAATCGACCCAGTCATTTCCATATCCCTTTCCCTTTCTTTTTAGTACACGAAGCAATTTTCGTCGTATGAAATAACGAATAAGAAACGTAGAAAGAATTAAAAACTTCTCTCCTTCCCTTTTTCTTCCATTTATTTATCTTTTTTTTTTATAATGTTTCTCATTGGCTTTCCCTTTAAAGCAAAAAAAAAAAAAATAGAAAGAAAGAAGCTTTTAGGTGACCTTCTTTTTACCCCGTTCGCGATTTTCCTCATTTTATTTTACATTTTTTTTTATATACTTTTCTTTTTGCAATCCTCCCTCTTCCCTCTTCTTTCTCGTTGGTTCATCCTTTTTTTTGTCATCGTTGGTGCAACTGTTTTGCCTCTCAACCCACGTAATGCGACGACTTTATACTTGGTAGAGAAAGAAAGAAGAAGAAGAAGAAGACGAGTTTCTCCGACACAAATAAGATAATCTCCATTATAAACTTGGGGGTAGGGTAAAAGTAAACGATGAGGAGTTATTTACTTGCCTTGGAAAAGAGGGACGAAAGATGACAGAGAAAGAAAGAAATAAACCAAAAGAAAGAGAGAAAGAAAGATAGAGAAAGTAACCGAGAAAGAAAGAAAGAAAGAGAAAGAAAGAGGGGTTGTTAGAGAGAGGGGAAAGGGGTTGAAAGGAAAGAGAAAAAGGGAACAAAGTAATAACAACGCGAATGAGAATAAGAAGGAAGGTTTGAAATTCCGCTAAGGTACACCTAGAAGAAGAAGAGGAGGAAGAAGAAGAAGGAAGAAGAAGGAAGAAGAAGAAGTTTTAAGTCGAACGACGCAACAAGACGCCACCACCACCATAAACACCACTACTACCACCATAGACACCACAACCATCATCCTTCTTGAATTCTTCTTCTTCTTCTTTGCGCAACGAGTATTATTATTATTATCCCTTGAGCAAATGGCTTCTTCCAACATGCTTTTCTCTCCCCCCC